CTTTTTATTTAACAGATTTTTTTATATATTTGATATTTAAACTAAAAAGATATTCTAAAAGCAAGTAAAAATAAAAGTAGTTTTCTAATTAAGAATATTAAAAGCAAAAAAAAAATAACAAAAAAATTTTTTTAATTTGAATTTTTACAATAATACAATATATTTTTTACATTATTTTATTATTTTTTATTTATAAAAAATAGAGATTTGTTTTATCTCAGCCAAAAGATCAATACTATATATTATTTTTTTTTATAATTATGTATTTGTTTAGACATAATAAATAAAGAATATAACTAATACATGAATTAACTAATTATATGAAACAGATCAAAAAAAGAGTTAAATAAAAAAGACTAATTTGTTAAGATATATATATTTTTTAAAACTATATATATAATATTTTTTTAAAAAATAATTATAAGAACCTATAAAGAATTGAATTATTTAAATATAAAATTTTAAGCCTTGGAATAATATCTTAACCACTTGAAGATTTCTTTTATATAAAAAGTACTTAACTCAAACTTTATCTTATAAATAAATAATATTTTTATTATAGTTAAAAGTACTTAATTTCTAGAAAATAATTACAACCTAAAATAAATATAAAAATATTTTAATAAGTAAACAATTGTAAAATAAAACTTTATCTTGTTAGTAGGTTTTCTCTTTTATTTTTTTTATAGATTATTTTTTTTTATATTAATTTTAATTTACTTTCTATTTTTATTTCTCCTATACCTAATTTTAAAATCATTTTCTTTTTTTTTAGTTTTTTTCTTTTTTATAAGAAAATGTCTTCAGATTAGTAATATCTTATTGTAAGATTGGAATTAAATAAGTCATAATTCTAATTCTAACTAAATCAGTATAGCAGATTGCATTTAAGTATTATTTAGATAGCTGAATAATAACAGACTTATATGTTAAATAATATTTTGTAATTGTATATATAACTACAAATGGTTTAATAAAGTACTGTCATAACTGCTTAAAGAATATATATATATATATTAATAGCTTATTAATAACCTTGAATAGCAATTTTTAATAAAACTATATTTGATTTATTTCAAAATCCTGATTTTTTTAATCATTGTTGTTATATATTTGCAATTATAAAACCTATTAAAATATATAATTAATCAATTGAAAAATTGATATGCAACAATTGTTAATTGTTATATTATATTAATTAAAATTGTTACAGAAATTAATCATTTTCCTCATTTTAATTTATATAAACAAAAAGTGATAAAAAGTTATAATTCACAGTTTAAAGAATTCACAACTCCACTTTGTCAACTTACATATTATCTGCATTCACTATATTGAGGTAATAACTTGATTAAGGTTATAACATATACGGTATATAGAGTTAATAAGTTATAACATATAAAATAGTTAACCAATACGGCACATACACACGTTACGATATGCCGTAACTTAAAAAATATGAAGTTATAACTTAGTTATGATACGACATGTTCCAATGCCTTGAGTTTCTACTGCATCTCTAGTTTTGAATGCTCCGTGACAGAAGCAAGTTATAAACCTTTCAATTACATTATTACTTCCTACGTTACGAACTTATTCATGGGTATCAAATCACGTTATTAGTTTTAATAGTAAGAGCCATGATCTACACGTGACTGTCAAAATCAAATAATGTATTCTTGTAGCTTGCATATCAAATATGAATTTTTGTCAAAGAATTCTGCTATGCGCAAAAACCTGCAGACCTTGGGGAAGTTGAAGGCCTGCATAATCTCGGAAGGTACTATCGTGATGGACTCGGTATTATCAAATATTTAGAAAAATTTATTACTTTATTAATAAAATAAAATATTTATTATAAAGATCGGCCAAACTAAATAACAAACTAGCTCATTACGAGCTTGAAATCATGGAAAATATGACATTAATAAAGATCACGTTAAAAAGCATTGAAATATTTAAAACGAGTACATGAAAAACATGCTTTCACATTTATTAATTCTTCTTAATGTAATCAACTAACAATTCTAAATTTCGATTTGGTTTAAAAATATATAACTTATTAAAGTTCTTAAACCTATAAATTCGAAAAAATACTGCAGCATGTAACCTTATTTTCACTGTTATCTCTTGTTTAATGCTTAACACCACATAATTTTATTATAATCAATTAATAAATATTTGATGGCATCATTATTTTCAACAATAACAATTTTCTTTAACCTCCTTTAAAATTACACAAATATGAACTTTAATCGGAGTACTTTTTATATTACCTTCAAATTGGCATAAAACAGGTTTTTAAGATCTTGAAATATATTGTCGATTATCGATAACGATAACTTTTTTATAGCTCGATATAGTGATCATCTACTTTTGCACCTTTTATAGCTTGTGCACGTGATATGAGAGCTTTTAATCAAAAAAAAACCAATCTAAATCCAATACACTAACTTTGTGCTATACTAGTAACAACAGAATCGCATCTAAGTAGGGTTGGGAGCACAGGAAAAAAATTTGGGCATACCTCTAGGGGCATGCCCTTGGCTGAGGCATGTCCTCTCTTTCTTATTGTGCCCGGGGCATGCCCTCTATATATCAAGTACTATACTGCTAGATCTAATTACAAGAATTATTTTAAAATTATGTAATATATATAAGAGTTAAAAAATTTCAAAATTGTAGATAACTTTTATATTCTAATTTGAAATTTGATAGATCTTAAAATTTGATAGACTGTTATACAAAATGTTTAGAGGGTAGCTGCTAGCGCTAGATCTTGTAACCAATCAGCATACTCCAATTATATATGATTAAGATTTATAATTACATGATACGCATGCCCCTAGGGGGCATACCTCTAAGGCATGCTCTGGAACACTGTGCCCAACCCTACATCTAAGACAAGTTGGTAGAACAACTGGATCCGAATGGATATCAAATATGAAAGTTAAGTTTTTAAAGTACAATCTAGCAAAATTTTAAGTCATATTAATTATTGAAAAGATTTTTTCTCTATTTTCAAGTTGAAAGTTCTATTCTAAACAATATAAAAAATTCGTGTAACATTATTTTTTCAATAGGAATAAACAACCAATTATAACAAACTTCACCCATGCTGTCATGTCTCCGGTTATATTAATAAGACTATATTCGAATATAGATAATTTTCAGTCGCATGATGGGGGATGTGTGCGCTGGGAGTTTTTTTAACCGTCCTAATATTGCTATTTTGAGTTGAAGTCCTTTACATAATATAATTGCGAAACCTGACCCAAATTTAGCAGACAATTTTTTTTAGCGAAATGTTTGGTCTAAATTGGCGGACTCGTATTAAAGATGATAAAATTCAAGGAAACGCAAATAGGATAATAGGATCCGTTTCATTTATTCCAGATTTGTCCCCTAGTTCTTACCAAATGTAAACAATCAGCGATCGAACGAACTGATCTATCTTTATATTAGTTTACAGATCTTTCAAACCAATAATAATTGATATACTATATATATATATATTAAAAAAATAAAATTATAGTTATTCAGTATAGATATAAATAATTTTAGGAACAAGATCTGCAAAGAATCACACGACAATTTTATGATATAGTAAACAACAAGATGAATCAAGAAAAACACATCAAACAATGGCTGCCTGCTTTGAATGTCCATATATTTTACATGATATCACACAGATGATGTAATTGTTTGGTATAATTGTAAAGTTACTTAACACTTTTTTTTTTGTGTGTAGTATTACCGAAGCTCCGTAGAATGCATTAAATATTCGTAAAAATTATGTAAGGTCATATAAATTCATGTAGTTTTTTAACCTAGTAATTTTGTAGAAAAAAGTTCGTGATGCATTCTATTTCTATATTATTTGGGATACATAGGGAAACGACTATATTAATTTGCTATTGTTTAAAATGTTTTTTTTTTTTGATTCATCGAAATTAATATATTGCGTTTACTATACCAGCTAATTGATTTTAGATCAAGGATGACATTCTTGAATGTCTGGCATTTCAATATAGTCGTTTAAGCCCTGATAGGGATAATAGTGGCCGAAGTCGAAAGCTATGTACGTTTGCCATTATTCTGTCGAGTCAGGTAACTATAGTTTATTTGGCAGTAGGACGAGCTTATCCAATTGTATCCATATGTACTGTATATGCATGTACTGTACTTATGTACATAAATGTATAAGTAAACAAAAAATATGATTTTATCCTAAAGCTAAAAAATATTAACAATTTTATATTAACTGTTCAAGAGCTATATGTAATATTAAACCGAACTAATTCAGGAAAAAGAATGAAAATTAAAAAGTGTAAAAGCTTGGTGCATCCTTTTTTTTTTTGAAAGGCTTAAACCTCCACGTCAAAAATTGTCGAAAAAGTAGAAATACATAATATAATACCGATATGTATATTTATACGTATTACATATCACTGTGTATCCTAACCCTCATTAGTCGTATGATAGTGTCGTATGATATTCCATAAATTCTTTTTTTTTCCTTAAATAATAATAATAATAATACAAGGTAGAAGTCAATATAATACGTATAAAAATATGCCCTGTTGTCCTCGATTGTAATGATCAAATTTTTTTGCATGCTATAAATTTGCAGTAAACATATACATATATATAAATTCTTAAATCATTGTAATTTTAAAAAAATGTCAGTAAAAAAGTGGTAAATGTAATTTTTGAAAATATTATTTGCTACATATATATGTTTTTTTTTAATTTTCGTTTTCCGATACTACAGTCATTCTTGCATAATTTTCAAACAATTTCTCAATATAATATTACCCTGGAAAGTTCCTTGACATTAAACTAACGGACGTTAAGATCAATCAATGTTATAAACAGATCACATTGAATGGTTCTAATAATATTCATTAAATACATTCACAGAATTTTTAACAAATCAGAAAAAGGATTATCATAAGTTTGGTCAACACTTAACGTTGATTGTTAATCTTTTAACAGTTATGGAAGGTGCATCCACTAACCATCATGTGATCAGTTCACTCGGTTCACATGTGGATGACAATATCAAACCAATTACCAAACTATACGAAATAAATTCTTGTGATTCTACAACTTCGACGCAAAGGCAAGAAAATAATGATGATATCATTCTGGCTCCCGACATAACGCATGAGAAGGATAATAGCGATAGTGAATTGCCTTCATATTTAGAAGTGATTAAGCATGAGCCAGGACTAAATTACATGACTGCATGTGAAAGCCATGAAAATTTACCAGCATATTCTTGTAGCGTTTTTAAAGCCGGTTATGTTGTTAAAAAGGATGAAACGGTATCACATGGTGTTAGGGCAAAACGTAGAACTTGGAGGTACGTACGTACATGTGCATATTTTAAACTTAATACTTTTTTTGACTTTCGACAATTATTATTAATTTAAACAGAAAGTTTTACCTATGTTTGTGGGGTACAATATTACGAATTTATAAAAACAAGACACTTGATAACAATGTAAGTCACCAATTTTTATTATCGTTATTAATTAGCTAAATTATCTACAGCGATAGCAATAGGGAAATCCTTTTTAACCCGGGTTAAAGTCATACGTACCAGTAACTTTACTCACGTGTCTATCGCTGTAGCTTATTGAAGATAGAAATCTGATACTTATACATACTTATACGTATATGTATCAAATGTTAATGCCCAGTGTGTAGCACCAATACCGATACGGGAATTTAGCATGAACTGCGCAAAAATAGGATTTGCTACCGACTATACTAAACGATGTAATGTTCTCAGAATTTATATCGCAACCGGTTATCAATTTATATTTCAATCAACTAATCTAAATGATTCTATATCATGGATTGAGAAGTTTCAATCTTCTGTTAATATTTCATCTTCAATTGACGACCGAGAGATGCCAATGTTTATAACTTTACTACCAAGATTTCAAAGAAACCCTAATATATTGACATTTGATCCTTCTACAAATACGGGAGACTGTGATTGTAATGAATTAGGTAGGAATAATTCAGTATTTGTTGAAATATTTTGATTCATCATTCATTGAAGTATTTGATGAGAATGAATACGTATATGTATTCTTTAGCAATACTATAAAATTAACTTATCAAGCTTTTGATAAAATACAAGTTGATGTTTACTTTCATCTTGCAACTTTAAAAAGTTACTACAATTGTACTCCCATATAAGCACATCATATGAAATCTTTTTATTGTTAAGAACATTTAGTATTTGAAATAACTACTACTATTAATTATAATGTATAAAAATAATTATATATCATATAAGCATATTATTTATTAAATATAAAGATTCTAAGGATCCTGATATATGTAATTACAGTATAAGAAGTATTCAAAGTAAAACTGGTTGTATAAAGTAGTAATATAATTTTTAAATATAGTCTAATTTAAAGATAGCATGTTTAAATTATACGTAATTTTTTTATAATTTCTTTATATAGTAATTCATATTTTGTTATGTGCTGTACGTACGTATTTAGTTTACCAATAATAGAAAAAAAATTATTATTATACATATAACGTTTTTATAATAACTTTTATTGCTATAATTCATTTATTATACGTAGAATTTATCTTTCCCGTTCTTCAAAGAAAATTGGTCATTCTTTAATTGGTCATATATTCTAATTTGTAGTAAAAATAGAAAATATCTATATTTGGCAAGAAATATTAATATTAATAAGGATAAAATGGAAGGTTACGTATACGTAAAAATTTCTCACGCATAATTTATAGAGCCCCAGAACTAGGGTTGTTGGTGCAGGTAGCGTTGCCATTGGCGCAATGCTTTAAATTCATACGTATGATAACTTAATGGCGCAGCAGTGGTGCACATTTGTAGGGATGCCTGGTCCAGGACTAGTTAAAAACTAGTTCACCCTCCTGTCAAAAATAAGTCCCTACCCTAGCGGTTTACTATAGATTTTATAATACTTTTATTACAAACTTAATTCACCAATTAGAGTATTTGCCATTGATTTCAAAGTACCACCACTCAGAGCGTATTGTTATTGATTCACATTTTATCGAATTTTATTTAGTGTGTCAAAAATGACACTCTATTAATGCAAGAGCTGGACCAGTCCTAAAAAGTCCGGTCCAGACCTGGGTCCGAACCAGTTTCCTGTGGACCACTTAACATCTCTTACAACTTGCACCACCAACCCTGCCCAGAACACAGAATGTTTTAAAACTAAATTTGGCTCTATCAACTTATACGTATGCGTTTATAGTGATTGCTGTTTTGAATGTTCAATTTCTATTTAAAGTAAGTCTCAGTGTGCTGCGTACTGAAAATATATTTTATGTCGATTAAAAATGTTTTTTTTATACATTCTAAAATAGGTTCTTGGCATGTTTCTTAATAATGACTTTTTTTATAGTGAATGATTCAAGTAATTTTTACACGTTTTCTCGACAGAACGTTCCTAGTGAAAAGGAGCTATCAGCTTGATATATAAAATGCTTATTTTTTATCCAAAAACTTTATTTTCTAAAATGATCGAAAGCGAAGTAATTTCCGTTCTTATAACGTATTCAACGACGTTGCAAGGAAATATTCTTGAGTGGGATACCATCGAGGTATTAAAAATGCTTGGCTTTAAGAATGTCAATCATTTTACAGATGGTATGGAATATATTCATACAGGGTGAGTTTCTCATTAAGTGTTTGTTGAGTTATCGTGTATCTGAAGGTACGCTGTCACATCGATGTAAATATCCAAGAGAATCGAAAGCACTTCGTGGCCAACAGTTTAGGCTGTTGAACGTTCTTCTTTTGGTTTTCGATGTTCCTGAAATGACCCATGCTCTGTCAGGAATTTATGATGAATAGGATACACGCTAATTATTGAAAGCACATAACCGTAGAATATTCCGGTCCGGCGTGCATGTTCTTTAATTGTTAATAACGATGACACATTCACTCACTTATTGTCAATTCATAGGGTAAAAACGACGGTGGGGCAGACATAATTGTAATGATTAGAGATATCGAGATTGTAATCCAGTACAAAAACTGGATACATAGACAAATCTTTAGAAAAGAATTCAAAAAGTAACTATAGTTATAGCATGAAAAAGCCTAAAAGAAAAAAAGGCTAAATTCCTCTATATGTGCTATATATGGAGAATAGGTTTGTTTTGAATTTGATGTTAATTAAAAGGAGATATTTATACATATAAATAGTATAGGACTTGCCATTGTTTGGGTACAATCGGTATCGTGGTGTCTCCCATCATGGGTTTTCCGATAAGGCAATAGAAATAGCAGATTCACCTGATTACTCCATCATCTTGATTGACATCTCTTACTTTCAGTTAGTAATTCTTAATTTTGCCACAGATATTCTTCAAAACAGACCCATTGAATTTTATTCTATCATAACCTTTTCAATCATTAATTTTGTCGTATATATTAATAAAGCTTGGCCCTAGTGGCTTATTTTGCATACGTAACATGTTTACTTTTGCATGTGTATTTCAGGGATTTACTAATTTTCCTAGTGGCTGGAATTATTCGCGCCAAATTACATGTCATTTTATCTTTAAAGATTTAAGATTGTCAGAATTAATAGATCATATAACAAAATCTTGTAAGGAATTTTTTTTTTGTTAGGACTTTGAAGAATTTTGAATTACGGATTATAAAAATATATCTAGTATTTTCGAGTCTAGTATTTTGAAGTCTAGTGTATTTTGTAGTCTAATATTTGTTTTCTCTTGTATTTCTACCTTTATTTTTTGTCGAAATATGAATATAAATGAATGAAAAAATCATATACATTTAACTTTCGTATAATGAACTGACAGTTCTTATAGTAAAAACTAGAGTCAACGGTTTACATTGCAATACGTAGCGATAGGTGCAACAGGAGGATCCGTCGATGTTACACGACTGATCCTTCGGTGTGCAACACATAAAAAAATTATTTTACATTCCACTAGTAAATGTTATGATTACACCATTTTTATTATAATAAAATGGTGTGGTCTGGTATTGTAAAATAGTAGGCTGATTGACAGTTAGTAAATTTGGTATTGGCAATACATACTATATAATTCTGTACCAAAGGCTCTACGTAACCGTTTATTGCATTACTATAAAGGGTCGTATCATTTCAAATTTTATACAATACAGTACGAAATTATCTTTAAGTATATGTATCTTCGTACTGTATCGTATCATTTCAAAATTTTATAAAATACTGTACTAGTACAGTACACTATATATGTATATTCGATTTTGAAAATAAGCTTTATTTTTATGTTACACCTGATCAGTTATATGATTCGCTGTAGATGCATCACGTTATTAAAGCTTGTCGATTTTATCCAATTAGAAATGCGATTTACTAGTAACCGTATTTCTGTATTAACAATAGAAAATAATTATAAAATTATATAAACTGTATACCGGTAATAAGAAATAACATTTCTGTAACTTCTAATGTAAGCTTGAATATATAGTATACAGTAACAAGTATTTTTCTAAGCACCTTTCGAAAAAAATTATTATACAACCCAAAAATCGGTACCTATTTGCGGGCTTAAAGACTAATCAATAATTATGTAAACAAAAAAAAAACTTACAATTAAAGTACAGTATATATTAATAAATCTACTATATAACTTTGTCTTTAAACTTTAATAATTTGCTTCTAATAAAAGGTTAGTCTATAATACTACTAATTCTTACTTCCAGTAACTTACAGTGACTTTTTAGTAACCTTTTATCGAAAACATTAAATTTACTAACACTAAACTTTAAAATTCTTTAATTTTTGCCCTTTTTGTTTCCATCTTGATTGGCCAATATACATGTGACATACGCGCAGTTTCGTGTAACTAAAGACGTCTATAAAGATTCCCCAATTGCTTTAGATGTCATCAACAGACGTTCCTGTTAGTATTGTTTTTTGTGAGAGGGTTTTTTATTCTTCTTTTTCTTTTGGAGTGTAAAACTTATATCTACCGTTTTTATTTGTCAGTTTCTCACTGAATAATATATATAGGGCACTGAATAAAACATATATAGGGCACTGAATAATATAGGAAACAGTATATAACGAAGGTAGGCGTTTAGCTTATTTGCGAAAATATTTGTTTCTTGTAAAAGCGCTCCTTTCGGCCCGTGCTTTGATTTTCAACGTGGAACTTTAATTTAAATATCTTTATTTATCGGTCTAGACCTTAAGCATACTTTGAAATGACCAAAACTCAAGCGTACTTTGGGCCCCACATACAAGTATACACGAACGAGACTAACTTTAAAGAGACTCCTGTGGGGTTTTTAAGACCTGTTAATGATCTTCAACAAACAATAAAACTACTGGAAAAACGTGATGTACCAAAGATGCCAGAAAGTCCAGTCACGCTTAAAGCATCTAAATCACCAAAATCATCTAAATCCAAAAGTCAAATAGAACAAGAGTTCCTATCAATACAGGCGCGTGCTTTGGGTCAATTAAAATCTGCTCTTAAAACAGCCTTAGGCAGATTTAATAAAAAACCGCCAAAGTTTCAAAATAAAGATGATTACATGATTATGACTCATGTGACATCTTTTTTTGAAAAAGCAATTTATAATCTGCAAGGTTATTATGAGTACAAAAGTTCTCCCAAAGCCTTGCATGTATTTGGAGGAGTTCCAACTGTGAAGACAGGATTACTAACTAATTTAGATATTACTTATAAGGAATTTGGCTCTGCTTCATCATCTCGATCTAATAAACAATTAATTATGTCAAATGATGTTGTTGCTTCATCATCTCGATCTAATAAACAATTAATTATGTCAAATGATGTTGTTGCATCATCTCAGCTTAATGATGTTGTTACTTCTTCATCTCGGCTTAATGATGTTACTTCATCATCTCGACTTAATTCAAATGATGTTGTTGCCATATCTAAAAAAGGTAACATAGATTCTCCCCAAACTAACAAAGCATTGATTGGAAATGCTCTAAAATTTCCAATCATAATCGAATGTGATGATGATCGAGATTTCCAAAGTGGTGATAGAGAATCTCCAATCGTGTTAGATAGTGATGATGAAAAAGACCTCCGTGAACTGACTTTCGATAAAGATGAAGTTATCATAATTGATGATGATGATGATGCGAACGACAACAAAGATTTAAAGAGAAAATCTTTACCAAATGACTGTGACAATGGTGTCGGTCCTTCTAATAAAAGACTTAGAAGCGTGAAAGTTGAAAATGATACCTTGGGAGATTTTATTCCTCTTGAACCCATCACGTTATCAGACCTTAATACACTGCAACCTGTTTTTCTTCGTAGTACTCAAAATTTTAACGGAATTTATGCAAGTAAATCTATGAAGAAGAAGCAAAAAGCTGAATTAAACCAGTTCATTGATTCAAACAGACGTAATTATATATATATATTTATTTTTATTATTTATGGTTATTTATATTTTATTGTTACTAAATTAAAATAACTGATTTATTAATGTCTTTTAGTCATTAAAGGTATCACCAATCTGAGGACTGATTTACCTCCTATTCCTCCGATAGATGATCCGTGCTTTGCGACGATGGCGGTCGGTTATCATTCTCACAATGATCAATGGGAAACTCTCGAATTCCTTGGCGATAGAGTCTTAACTTCTTGCCTTTTGAAATTAGCAAAGAGTCGGTACAGTACAAAATATTGTACAAAAGAAATCAGTAAAAGTGTTTCAGTAATGGCCACCAATAAAATTTTGGCGGCATATACTATAACACTTGGTCTCCAAAAACTTAATGGTATGGATTTTCCAGTAATCATAAAGCTTCATGCTGATGCTTTTGAAGCATACTTTGGAGCATATTATCTAGCATGCGGGGAATTGGCAACTTGTTTATATCTCGAGTGCCTAATGACCCCGCTGTTCGATCTTATTGTTGCTCATATCGCATCTGGTAACAATATTACAAATACATGCGATATAGCCTCAAAGTACTTTTCAATGCCATGGATTCATGGTGTTACTCGTCTTCAACGGTAATACAGATGCGTTTTTATGTAATTCAATGATTGTGAATAAGCTTAAAAACATTATTCTTATCATTCTTTTGATTTGCTAACAGTAATATTCCGGCTCAAAAATAAAGCAGTAATAAATATATTTCTTTGAATGTTGTAATTATTAGTTAATGTATTAACAGTTAAAATATGTAATTTGCTTATATTTCATAAACAACATTACGGTCTTGTGTAACCAAGCTGATGATGAAATAACAACTGACCTTTGAAGATTCTTAATGTGAAATATAATCAAAAATGTTTAGTTTATCCTTTCATGTTAAATGTCAAATGTTAAATATCAAATATCAAATGTCAAATGTCAATGTTTAGAGAGTATGTGAAATGTACGATCTACTATTATAGAAATACGAAAGCCTCTAAATTCATGTTACATAACTGAAAACAACAAAGAACGCGATCCTAAATTTGCCTACGCGGCGCACAAGCACGTGATTATCAAGAGCAATCTATTTCTGTATCGGTATTTAAAAAACTGAGAAAACTTTAAAACGATTTAATTATCTCGATAAAAAAAAAGACAAACGAAGGTAACATCCTACGATGCATATTTTAATTCATAAAGTTCTTTATTTTGAAGGTTCATTTGTTCCACGTTAATTTTCTTAGATCATGACTTCAAAACGAGGTGGAAATGTATTGAGATTAAATAAAGCTCAAGGTAGAGGAGAGAAAATTGCGAAAAAAGGTTTCTTGTACTTTATTTTATTTTATTTTATTTATTTTATTTATAAACTTGTTAATGTTCTATTAGTATTATCAATTCTTATAAACTTTTTACTATAAGGGGGGTCAAAAGTACCAAAACAACGTCAAGGTGTTTCTTCAGAAGAATTAGAAAAACGTACTGCACGTGCTAATCGTTTTCGAGATACTCTTGATCCGTCACAGGTATTTATTTATGCATTTATCATTATTTAGAGTTGTTTTAGTACATTAGGTGACTTATAATTCAGGCTCGATGTAATATAGTTATTAAGCGTAGGTAGTGTTGTACCTCATGGACGAAATTTAACCGTTAAAAATGAAGGATCACCAATTGATCCTGTTGACGATTTTTTTAAAGTATTTTCAATTTATCATCAAACACAAATGGTGATTAAACAAGTTAATGATACTCTTCCACTAGTAAGAAAAAAATTGGCATGGGATTTTTTCCATGAAGAGACATTACCAATTTCCATTAGTTCATTATACGAAAAAGATGATGCTGGTAAAAGCAAGCATTTTACGGAAATAGAGAATGAAGATTTTACAATGGAGGTTAGGAAATTTATTACTAAGCCTAAGCCGTTAGATCTTCCAACTCCCTCCAATTTTTTTGATGTTGAAATGGAGGATGTAGAACAATTTATTGCCGCATCACCAGTTACTCCTAGTGCAACCTTTCGTAACGTTGAAATGGATGTGGATGAAACATTTCCACCTTTATATATATCACCTTTAAGTCAGGTAATTAAATTTAAACTATCTTGCCAAATTTCGTATTCATGAGTCTTGATTGTCGTTGCTTTTTTTTTCCATTGTAGATATCATTATTATCCAATCCTTCAACAATAAATCGGACGGATCAATTTACTCCGAGTCAAGGTATTTCACCACAACTTCTCCAACGCTTGGGCACACGTTCAAATGATGTAATACGTAGAAATTCTCTTGAACGACCAATAATTCCGGGTAAATGTTTTCCCTAATTTTAATTAAATTCTCAATTGAATTCAACCTAATTTGATTTCATATATATATATATACTCTTTTTTTTTTAACATTTAAGCTACCGAAAAGTCAAATTCGGAGCTTTCGACAATGGACATCGAATACGAAAACAATCTAAATCAAGATGTATCCATTATAGGACCAGATAATACACTTGTGGGGTCACCCATTGAGGAAGAATTGAAACAAATTGAAGAAATTACAACCGAAACTACAGGGGTCACTAGTGATACGGATCCACTAATAGTCGATGAACCTGATGATGAATTAGAAGCATCAGAGTATGTAACGATTAATAGTTTATAATTTGAAATTTATTAATTCGCATATTAATTTAAAAATTAATTCACAAATTTTTTGTTACCATAGTCTCCCTACACCAAAATTAGATTTATATAGTTTAGTTCATGGGCCACCTCAACTAACTCAGGCTCAACTACTCAAAGAAGATAAAGTTAGGCGAAGACAAGCACTTTATAAGAAAACAAAAAAAGCGTTTCCAGATCGCCTAAAATCAGAGAAAAAGCGAAGAAAAAAGAAATATGACATATTAATAAATAAAAATCGCAATGTTCAATGTGTACTTGCGCATATTGATGATAAAAAGGCCGAAGCAACAAAAAAGGCTCAAGAAGAAGTTGAAATACGGAAAAAGGCCATTGAAGCGCAGAGTTCACGTGACGAGGATTATGAATCCGTTAGAAAAGAAATAAGACGTCGGAATCTAATCTTGGAACGTGTTAAGAATGAATACCTCGAGCGTGCTAAAAAAGATCCTAAATATAAGTATTCTATGACTAAAATTCAGGAGGAAGCACGAATTGAGATTGACAATACACCATCACTTATTAGATGATAATTTAATATGTAAACTTGGTGTTTTAAGAACCAAATTCCCATTTATGTATTGTACATTTCACTATAAGTAAACTCGTAAATAATTACAACTGATTAATAGACGTAATCGCGAGTAAACTTTTAAGTAAGCCATGTAATTAGAATATAATTTGATTTAAAAAAAAATTAAAGTTTTGAAATTTAATTATTATGTGTATAAAATTAATTGCCTTATTATAGTTAACAATCTTTAATTGACATGGGCCTTGTACAGATTATTAGTTAATGTTTTAGATAATCTAAAATGGTATATTTTATTTCAGTCTAATGACTATTTTTTTATAAAGTGTTTACATTGATTAGTAATAATTACTTAACAGTCATAGGACATGTTCTAATGGTTACTATTACTTATAAGTCAAATAAATTGACACTAAATTTTATATCAAAAAAAATTACTAAAATTTGTTATTGAATATGTACAGTCAACTTTAGATATACCGAACCTGCTTATATCGAACTTGTGTTATAAAAATTTGGGCTAGTTATACCAAACTAATGTAGTAAATTTTTATATACTGTATCCGAAGTTTTCTTTACCAGCCCAGGTTTACCCTTTACGTGTAAAATGATATCTAATAGGATATCAATAGACATCCTTATTGCTGTCAGTTTTTGGCACCAAGAGAAGTCAATCAATTGGTATTAATTAGAATAATATTATTCTAATTAATACTTATTGGTATCTTGTTTAAAATGATTTACTTATATATTACACAATTTTATATATAATATTTACAAAAAAAATGTATATTTTTAATTTTTTCAAAAAGATAAATATGCAACATAATTTTAAACTTTAAACGTATGTTCTTTAGTATTTTATAATTTTTTAATCAAAGTTACAAGCTTTAATACTAGGTAGTTGGATAAAAATCTTAATTTAAAGTTGTTCAATTTAGGTTAGAATTTTTTTTTAATGTTAAAGTTCCTACCTTTGGGATGTGACATTTTTATTCACGTATATAGGACATAGCATGCCATCAGAGGCTACCTTACATTGAAGGTTACAACTAGCTACATGTGTATTTTTGGTGCTTAATTTAAGTAGTCTGTTTATACAATACTATAGAAGTTTTATACTAGATATTATATCTGCAAGTCAACTAGAGGTTTTGCTTATTTAAACTTTTTGCATATGCAATCCTTCTTGTATCACAAGAACATCTTCAAAGTTACTCCTATTCAAGTTCCTGATGTTGATCAGTATCCTTAAGATTACTTATTCTTAATAAAAAACTTATTAGAGCTTTTATGTCTTACATATACTAATCTAGTTTTATGTAACATACTATAGTTATCTAATACTTGCAATCACAGAATTTATCTGTTTAACTGTTATATTATATTATTTTTATTCTTATAAAGTTTACTAGAATCCTAGTATCTATCTTTTTAGTATTTTCTTTATCATCTTTTACTAATTGCAACTCAGAACCAGTAGTTTCATATTAGATTACCAATTTAGATGGTCTGATATAATATACTTCTATAACTTTTTTTTCTGGTAAGTCTAGTAACCTAATTGGTTATATGCTCTTCTATATATATTTGTTATTTAGTTTTAACTTTTAGTTTTTATGAAGGTGTTTTATAAACTTTAACTAGTCTGATATTATTATTAAAAGTTTATATTATATGTATCTTTATTTAGAAAGTTCTAAGTAGGTTTCTGTCACCTCAGTTCCTTAGTCTTTTATACTCAGTAGTCTTATTATAGGTTTATACCAAAATCTTATACAATACCAGTTATATATTCCTCTATATATATATAATATTATATTTTATATAAATGTCTCAAGTTTCTAATATCAGTAGAATCTGATTTAGTATATCTGGATTACAATTATATAAGGTCAACTAATCAACAGAAGATAGTTACTATAATGCAGATATAATTTTCAAATTTTATTATAGATGGGATTTGAACTTTAGACCTACTACTTGAAGAATGACAACCTAATTACTGCACTAGAATTGCTATTTTCTAATTAAAATTTTACTTAATATATATATATATATTTTTTTTTTTTTTTTTTTTTTAAGATTAAGTTTTATTCATATTTTTATTAAGTAATTTATAAAATAGTAACATATATGTAGTACATAAATTTTTACTATTTGTACTAGTACAAATAAAAAGAAAATTATATACAAAAATAAAAGCTCAGACAATTAAATAAATCTAATTTATCTGTGACCTAAACCTACTAGAGTAGTCAAAACTTATCTAGATAATATTATTTATAATTAAAATAAAATTAAAATTTGTATGATACTTGACTCACAGAGTAACCCAAGTATTAATTTTTCTAAAATCACATCCAGCAAGTAAATAGGTTCCAGTATGCAAATGGAGTTAGTCAGATTGATCACAAAAACAAGAATAAATGAAATTATAATAAGTATATATATTATTTCTATTGTAGAAGGATAAAGTTTGTTGCTTAGTATGTATATATGTTATTTATTGTTGTTTTTTTTTAATTTGAAAAATTAATATAGTAGGATTTTTATAATTGTTTATAGATTTGTTTGTTAATTTCAAGCAAAATATTAATTATAATTGTTAATACTAGTTTGTATAGAACTTCTAAGTTCTAAATAGTTTTAATTAGAAATAAGGGAATGAGACCTTTAAGAGTAATTTCTAGATAGTGTGAGGATGAAAGAAAAGGTTTTTTTTGAAAGCTAAATAGTCTTTAATTTTTTGAATAAGTTTTTTAGTTTTGTTGTTAGAGAAGTTTAAATTAGCTGAATTTAGACAATTAGTTATTGCATTAAAAATAATGCTATTAAGCAAAGAAGAGTTGGCACAAGTGTACTAATATAATAATAATATGATTGAATTATAATAAAAACAATTAGTATTATGAAAGATTAGAGAATAAATTTTATAATAGAGATATTGAGTAGGTAGTTTATTAAGAAGTATTTTAATTTTAAATGATTTGAATTGATTAAGTTTAAAATTAATAAGATTGTAAATAGATTTTTAATTATGATTAAAGTATAATTAGGTTGAATTTTAGTCAATATAGTAGGCTATTGAAGTCGATTTGTTATTTTGTTTTTGTAATGACTATAGTACAAGGTTGTAAGCTTTACAGATACTTTTAACAAAGTATTTAGTAAGAAGTTTAACAGAAAATTTTTCTGTTTCGAAGAATAATAGATAATATAAGTTGTAAATGTTTGTATAGTTAAAGTATAATAAAGATTTATTTGTATGCTGCTTAGCAAGTGAGTCTGCTAGATTGTTAAAAGTGTTGTTTGAATAGGCTTGAACTTTATAAAAATAATATTTAATTTGTATGATTTAATAATATTTAATAAGGTATGGCATAATGGCCAAAAGTTAAATTTAAAGAGTTATTAGAATTGGAAGATAATTGATTTAGTTAAATGAATTTTGATATTATAGATTAAAAATTTGTATAGATGTTAATTGTAGAGTTTTGGAAAATAGTTAAAATAGCAGACAGAATAGAAAAGAGTTCAGCCTTGTAAGATGATGGCCAAAGATAAACTTTGGCAATAAATTTGTGAATAACTTGATTATTAAAATCTACTTGAATCTAGCCAATACCTATAGTGTAATTATTTGTATTTATACCAATTACTAAACTATTAGTATAAAAGTTAAATGAATTATATAGTAGATTATTAAAAAATATTTAATTAAGTTTGTTAGTTGCTTCACTTGCTTCAAAAATTGCAAATAAGATAGAGTTAGAAATAGAAATAGAAGTCAATAATAGTGGTAAAGAATTTGGCAAAGACTATTTAATTGCAGTGAAGCTAAGAAGGTCTAGATAATTTATATTTATTTTAACTGAATTTGAAATAATTCTATTAAAAAATTAGTCAAATGTAATAGATAAAGTATTAATAGTGCATAATGTAGTTATTCATTATGAGTTAAATTAACAGCCTAAACAAAAAACAAGATTAATCTGTTGAAGTAAATAGTAATTAGTATTGTTTATATTAATATTGGTTTGCCAGTTTATAATTAATATTTGGTTAGAATCTGCAAGATATTTACAAATTTTGCCTATGATAATTTTCTTATTATTGAAAATAATTAGTCATGGTTTATGTTTTTTGGAAATATTGTATATGTTATATACAAAGAGGTTAGTTTCTTGCTGTTGGTATTGAAATTTGAAAAAATGATAGTAATGATTTTCTATAATAAGATATTTAAGTTCAATAAACCAGATTGGTTTTCTGTCTTTAGGCAAATAAAGAATTTTTGATAATAGATATAGATATTCAAGAAGTATAGTATTATTCAAGATACAAAGTTGTTTAAGGTAAAGTAGGTTTAGTCATCTAAGTTGTTTTTTAAAGGTTGTATATTTGGGATGATGTTAAAAAATATGTTCAAGAGGTTAAAGCTAATAATGAATAGTGTTTGGCTATAATATATTACTATTAGCTCTAATAAAGACAGCAATTTGTAGAAATAATAGGATAACTTTAAAATTAAGGATATATTTATCTTGACTATCAACATTAGGTTAAAGGTGTTCAAGAATGTTTATAGTAGACCAGAGGTTGTTTTAAAGCTGTTGTAATCTAATATATATAGAAACATCTAGTAAATAGAGATCATTAATTCATTGAAGAAAAGTAGGAATATGGTGTTGTAATTGTATTGTAATATGGTTGCTTAACCTAACTAGATTCTAAATATTTGTTTAATAAATATGTCGTCGCCAGTCAAATCAAG